CTGAAAACTTCTTCAATAGGTTGCGTCGTGTCAACTTGAAGCTTGAGTTGCTCGTTCATCTTAAGAGTTGAGTTGTAATTTGAACGTCAGTTGTGTTGATTATTTATGAAAGCTAATTTCGACTTTTGAATAAGCAAAGACTCATGAATCCAGGAGCACAAACTTCGAGTTTGCGACATTCTGATGCAATACAGAGGCCTCAGCGTCAACTTGATTTCAATATTGGCATCGACAGGTTCAGAATCTAACCAAATAGGCAAAAAATGGGCAAGTCACAGGGCTCGCAATAGCCAGATATAGCATTTGAAATAGCTTCTCAAAAATCGTTCCTCATCGGTCTTGAGGTTTGGACTCATCGAAAGAAAAATCTTTCATATTTAAGCAACCAACTCAAGCAATTTGACCAATCCGCCAAGGCATTTTGAACCATCATATGGACTTGTCATTGCATATTGATTCATGCGGTGCAATCGATTGCTACTAGTAGGTCTGAAAGAGTGTGAAAATTGCCTCAATCGCTCACCATTTACTCCTTGAGATCCTGAGGCGTACGGAAATACTCGAATCCAACATCTAGAGGGTATAACCCCGCGAGAAGTCAAGGTTTACCCAACGTGTGGAAATGCATTCCATGCTTTACTACCCCTGTTCGAGAAACGGTCCATTATTACCCTGTTCCACATCGCAGCGCGTATTTTCCACCTCCCCGGAACTAAGATGGGAAAAGCAGCGTGGCGAGGCTATCGTATTTTTTCGGCATACATCCTATTTCGTCTATGGGTTTCTCGCCTAGAAATCACTTTGCCGATCTTGCGAGCACAACCCTGATATTGATACAACCTGTCAATCAAGAAGAGAGGGGCAGTTGGGGGCTAGGGAAACAGCGGTGAACGATCGAGGGCCACGCGAGGGGCGCCGAGGAAGTGGATAGTTTCATTCGACTGTTGCAGGGTTATGCACGGCTTTCAACCCGGACTGAATGTCGGCCTCGATCGGAGGTCGGTGGAGCAAGCAGACAGTGGAGATGGTAGAACGTGGCTAGACCCGCTCCTTGATACGCCGAGACTCGTAGTCTCATCCACATACATGATATTCAGGGTCTTCCAGAAGGAAACTTGAGACGACGTTTTGTATATGAATAACTCAAACTTTGAGCACGGTTGGCTCGGTCCGGGGATTGCTCCCAAGACAGCAATCCCAACCGTCCAGCGAACTTTGAGCTCTGGCATTTATGCCTGACTACTGTCGAGCTTTGTGAGGGATGGGACACCGGACGAAGATGTTGATTTTGCCCGACTCCCTTTAGAAATTGAGTTTTGCTTTGTGATTAGTGACACGCCCCGTATTGTGTGGGAGCCGGGGTAGACACCGCGGGGAAGATAACTTAGGGGACTCATGTTTGGCAACCCGGACCTCGGTCTATCATGATAGCCGCTGTCATGGCGCCATCCCGTGATGTGGGATATTCGTGTTTTGAGCCTGGTCCGGACCACTGGGTCCCAGTGGACAAAGCGACTCGACAAGTGGTACGAGAATAATGCGAATCTGGGATTCTTCATCCTGAAATGACCGCGCGAAGGAAACTTTATTTAGAGTTCAACGCTAGGAATAAAGTTCATCACCTTCTATCTCAAGACATTCAGCGGAGACGCAGCTTAGACCAGAGTTACATCAATGGACAAGGCACCCTGCATTCCTCGGACTCCGCCTCACGACATGCAGATGGTGTCTATCGAGCTTTCAGATGGTTCAAATTGGAGATATTCTGCTCCAGAATGTGGTGATATCGTTCATCTAGTCCCAACTTACCGAAAACTTTCTGAGTTAAGACGCAGAACTCGACTCTCTCGACATGTTTGCGACGCTTCGAACCGAAGACCGAGATGGAGAGGTCGTATGCATTTCAAGTACACATCAACTACCGCAACCGGGTCAGAACACAAACCATTTTGCTTGTGACGGCTGCCGAGCAAAGAAGGTATAATCGATTGAACCTCATGAGAAACCGCGCTGACCTGCTCACTCAGTTGAAATGCACTGGACACAGATTTGGCTGTCAACGATGCCGAGACCGAAATCTAGCTTGCACATATTCGAATACTCTACCACAAAGGCGTCGCAAAGGTGGAAGGCCCCCAGCGCCGCACAAAAGCGCAACGCCTCGCGAGATCACGCCGTCTACGTCAGAAGAACCGCCGATGATGGCCCCTTCTGATTCACCCAAAGAGCGATTACAATCGGCGTATCCGGAGCAGTTGTCTGAACCCAAATGTGTGTCAAAGGGTGCTGCATCGGATCAAATCTTGTCACCGGAGCGAGCCGAGATTGACATGGACTCCCAGTCAACCAATTTGCTCATCCAAACCCCGACATTAGTTGGCTCGGGCCAATCACCAAGCACCCTGCTGGAGGAGGAGTCGTCTGGCACACCGCCTGACTTTGAGGATCTGGCCCTTCCAGATTACATGGAGTCAGACTTGCATGAGTTTGACATGGACGACTTACAATTACTCGATGCCGAGATAAACCTGTCTGAACAGGAAGCTGAAGGCCATGACTTAAGCAAAGCATTTGCATCCAGTACAACCCCATTCAACGTCCAAATCACACGGGAAACTAGCTTTGCTAGGAGCAGTTCGTCGTCAGGTGAGTTAAAGCTCTCCAGCTTTCAGCTACGCAACACTGCTCCTGAAAGCTTCAGCCATTGTCTAAATCAAATGATTGATGCTAAGCGGATGTAGATGATTCTCAATGGAATGCTATTCAGCGGTCCAAGAGCAATCACATAAGGGATGACACCTCTCATGATATCTCTCATGATTTCGTTGCCCCTAAACGGGCGCCGTCCAGTCTCTCATCGCACGGTATCAGCTCCACGGTGCCTTTCACCCCTCACCACCACCCAAACAGCTTTTCTTTAAATGCTCCAAGTCCGTTGCTTGTTAACCGTAGCCATGGCAGCCCAATCACTGGGCCGGGGTCACAGACGAGCGTCGCAGCCACAGCGCCTTGCCGCTGTGTTGGCGTAACGCTGAATTTGCTTGAAAAAATGCAGACGCAGAGCAAAGTAACAACCTTTTGTGTGGCGGAAACCTCCCTACATATGCTTAAAAAGTCGATATCCCAATGCCGATCTATAAGTCATTGCTCTTCGTGCCGGAATCGTTCTAGGGTAATGACATTCTCAATATTGCTAGCCGAGAAGATTATGGCTATATTAGAGGATATTGCATCTGTGTGGGAATGTGCTTCTCAAGCCTCAAATCTCGGAGATGACGGCAGAATTGAGGCATACGGACATGCACACCGTTGGATTCCTGTATTGCTGGGACAGTATCAGATTGATACTGTCCATGAACGTTGCGAGATTTTTGGTTTCTTGATTCTGCTGCAAGTACGGCAGCTTGGAGGCTTCTTGGAATCTTTGCGCAATTCAGTTGACAGACAGAGGTGGGCGCCACACCAGAATTCGCTACGGCCCATCTGTCTCCGTCTCGAGGAGCTACAAGAAGCTTTGAACGGGCATACATGAGACGTATCTACCTTCTATCTTGAGCAGCTTCTTCTACCTACATCTTCGAACAAGAAAGTGGAATCTTGAAATACACATCATGAGATGAATCGAATATTCTGAATCGAAAGCTAAACGAGTGCAAATTACACTTATGTGAACCAATCAACCTCTGCCCGCCTCGGGATTACAGACACCACTTTCTTTGGTTACCTCAGGGTTACGGACATATTTCGCCAAGCTTTTACAGAATCTCCCTTCTCCTGGCCTCGGTCTCAGCCGCTACCCGATGATCTATCCGAAGATGATCGGACCGTTTCTTCTTATAGAGACCTCTTCCCCGTAGATTAGCCGATAATCCTGGCAGCAGCCGAGAGAGCGAGTCATTCGACTTGAAGATCTGATTGGACTCCAAAACAATTGTGGATGTATTGGCTTCAAGACGGGTTCAAGGTTTCCGAGCCCGAAACCTTATTTCTGACTTCCCCGGTCCCAAATGCATTCGCAAAAGCTTAAACATACGAGCGTTACGCTTGATGAGCCACAACCGCCGGAGCACTGTAACAGGTCTAGCGTTCCATCAATGAGAAACACACCCTGAAATTGAATAGCTGTGTCAGCCTCAAGTTTGCTAAAATGGAACGTCGCCGAGAGGCCTAGATCTTGGCTATTCGCCAGAGTATCAGTACGCCCACGAGTCAACATTAATATGTATTGCGCACACGCTATAGAAGTTGTCCAGACGCTCGCTCTTCCTCCATCTTATGCACAGGCCGTAGCCACTTCTCACCTTATGACTAGGGCTGTTTCCAAGCGCTGCTGGGGTTCATGAGTGCGGCTTCCCCGGCTCAACTACCCTACAGCGCATCCACTTCAGTTACAACACATTCTGGGGTCAGCTACGCCGGAGCAACGGCTTATGCATGTCGCTTAAAGTAAAAGTTGGCTATGTGGCAGAAATTCTCCAGGGAACAGCCACGATAACTAAGAAGACATGGTTTGGTACACGTGGTCAAAAGGTTCCTCGCCATATCTGTCGCAGTACTGCGTACAGGAAGATAAATCGGACACACCCAACACGGAAAGGTTCCGATGGAGATTGTTCTGCCCCGTTGAAAATTTGGAATCCAGCCGTGACACAATGACTGCTGCCACTGTCTGATGTGGCGTGCATGCGACAGACTTGTTGTCGCAACGACTCGAGCACGGAGCTCCCTTACGCTGTCAAAAAACTCAGACCACTGGTCAGTGGGTGGACATCCAGATTCCAGGAAGTCACTCGAAGGCTAGTATATGATGAGAAATTGCTTGGGAACTTGGAGCTTGTTGTATCAGAAATATATCGGCTTTAGGTTGAGCCCTCCTTGAGTGAACTTGTAGTGGGCGACAGACTGGAAAAAAAGGAAAACGCGTTGAGAAGATTAGTCGGTTCCATCCAGTGCACATCCAAGCGGTTCATTGCCACGCTGGAACTATCTAAGTATTCGCTCTAGAGTCTCTTCTTGAACTCCACAGTCGCCCATGGGTCCGGTAGATATTGTGTTTCCGCTCGTACACTTTGCGGGCGTCCCTGTCCATGTGTAAATCGCATCTCGTAATTTTTCAACAGATGGGCCATTATGGCTTTGATCTCATGAGCCGCAAAGAAGCGTCCTGGACAAGCATGGCGCCCGTAGCCAAAACTCAAAGATGTCGGATTCGACGCGACATACTGGGCGCGACCGTCCATATCCGAGCGCTCTTCTCTCATCCTGGCGAAACGAAACGCATCAAAAGTTTCAGGGTCCGGATAAAGAGATTCATCCATTGTGATAGCTTGTGTTGGAATCCCAATGGTGGTATGAGCTGGAATTGTAAACCCGGAGGATAGTGTAAAAGGCCGGTGAACCACTCTCTCGAATGTGACTGCACACGTTGATGTATTAGGTGACCACTGTGAAAGGCCAAAACTCATCAGGGTGAACGTACTTAGAAGGAGAGGATTAAACCTTTGGCTCTCTTTCATGAAACTATCCATCTTCGCCATTTTCAAGAAGCCCGATTTTGTTATCAAATCATCGTTGCCAGTAAGGCTCTCGACTTCGTCCCGCAATGTTTCAATGATTTCAGGACGTTCGCATAGGTCGTAAATGAGCTGTGCAGGTGCAGCTGCACTCGTGTGTATCGCAGCAAAGCTTACCTTCAAGAGAATACTGGCCAGGAATGCCATGTCACGCTCTTCGCCTTTCGCCTGCTCGGCCATCCAATATAGAAGATCTTCAGCTTTATCTCCAGTGCGAAGGCGACTTTCGAGCAGTGGAATAGCTGCAGCTTCTGCAGCGGCGTAATGGCCGGCGATCTTGGTAATCTCCGGAATGAAACGAGCTGCAAATGGCTTTAGGACCTCGGGATATCTTTTCAGCTTCTGAGCGCCAATGAAGCCGTCAATGGCGAAGTCGATAGATGATTGTACCCATTCTCGATTGTGAGATAGAGTGGTGCCACCGAACATACAACTCGAGACTCTTGCCACAATCTGCGTCAATGTGTGGACGACAGGGACGGGCGTCCAATCTGTTCAGGTTAGCCGAGCAAAATCATTCGTCAAGGCCATGATTGCAAACCTTCACAAGCAGGAAATGTGTCATTGAATGCGTCAACTATTTCCTTCTGCACTGCCGGCATTACGTCGGCTACAAACGTGTTAGAAAAAACCATATCAACTCTAATGACTTGTGTAGAACCGCCTACCGAGATGATGATTCAATTGCGCCTTAACAACGCGAGGATGCAGGGTCGACCTACTCCCCATGGTGGTGTACTTACCCTCGAACATCTTTCCGGCATTAGTGAATGAATCAACTTGGTGGAAGGATGATTACCTCGATAAACGTAGCAACAAAGTCTACCTGGTCGATTGGGGCCGTCTTGAGCTCCTCTAAGTATTTCGAGGGAATCATCAGACGTTCTCCTAGTGGACTGGGGACGTAGAAGAAGTCGCCTTTCGCCTAAACACTGTGAGAATGACTCGGTAAAACTGTCTTTTAGGAGGTAACATACGCGCTTGTACCCTTCTTGAAGCATCTCCTTTGCATTTTGGCGAAACCGCTCTCGATTTGCCTTGATGCTGTGTTTAGCATTCCCACCAACGACTAGAACACCAGGAACGAGTTTTTGTTTGTCTGGCAAGAGTGCGCATAGCAAAACGATTAATCCTACGGTGAGGCCCAAAAAGGTCATTGCCAAGCCGTGGTTTCCATTGGTATAGTCGCGAGCATAATGCCAGAGTAGAAGACTATCGAGATCAAAGAACGATTTCATCGTGATGTGTTAACGGCTTCATGAAAATCTAAATCAAATCACCCGTATGGAGAACCGTAGCTGCTTGGGAATATCGGCTCATACGTCGCGGATACCGCCTGGCATAAAGCTCGGAGCCTGCGAGGTTTGAATCGTTGGGCTCGGGCTTTTCCCAAAGTATGCGAGTTCCGAGGTGCCGGCCGCCGCAACTCCCAACAGGGAAGGCAGCCGAAGCCCGAATGAGAGTGACTGAGATCTCAACAACACCATTAGCTAATACCGGGATAATTCTAGGCTTAAAGTATGGATATTTAACACTTGCGGCTCTAGTTGCCTGACATTCCTCCAAAACATCAATTTCTAAACCACCTTTTCACTATGGGAGAACCAATCCATGATATTCCGTTGGCGAGCTCAGCCCCAGTCTCTCTTAGCGTTTTACCTGAGGGGCACGATGCTTTCCAGCCCTACAAAGTCGAAAAGTTTGACGACGGTCTTCGATATGATACTCTCCAAGTTCACGGAGGACACCGACCGGACATAGAGACACATGCCCGAGCAGTCCCAATCTACAACAGCGTGGTGAGCTTCTATATCCGATTGTTTCCGATGATGGGCCGTGGTCAACTAACTCAAGTACTATCTCAGTCATTCATATTCACAGATAGTGAGCATGCCAAGAGGGTGTGTGCCACTCAAGAAGCAGGTTACTTCTACAGCAGAGTATCTAATGTAAGCCTTTCATGCCTGCTATCTTGGATATTGTCTCAATTTTACTGAAACTTATTCGCAGCCAACGGTTGCAGTTTTCGAAAAACGGGCCGCCGCTTTGGAAGGAGGCACTGCTGCTGTAGCCACAGCCTCAGGACAGGCAGCTATTTTCAACACCATCATCGGCCTAGCAGGAGCCGGTGATAATGTTGTGGCCTCAATCAACTTATATGGAGGCACCTACAGCCTTTTCAAGACACTGCTTCCGCGACTTGGTATCACTGTGAAGTGGGCCAAACAAGAGACCAGAGAAGAGTTTGCCAGACACATTGATGAAAATACCAAGCTCCTATTCGTCGAAAGTATTGGAAATCCTCGCTGCAGCATTCCCGATCTTCAGGGATTGGCAGATGTGGCACATGAAAACCACGTTCCATTTGTGGTAAGTAGCAAGAAATTTAGAACGAATGGCCAATCCCAAAATCTGACACAGTGAAAGGTCGACAACACATTCGGAGCCTGTGGCACATGGTGTCGCCCTATTGAATTTGGCGCCGACATCATCTTGCATTCCGCCACGAAATGGATGGGTGGTCATGGTACCACCGTCGGTGGAGTCATCATTGACTGTGGCACTTTCGACTGGGGAGCAGCGGGTCACCGGTTTCCTCGAATGATCAAGAAAGATGGTCCAATGAGCTTCTCATACTGGAAAGCCTTCGGCAATATCTCGTTTGCGATGGCGATGAGGATTGATATCTTGATGGAGGTTGGGTCAATACTGAGTCCAGCCTCAGCACAGCAGCTGCTCATCGGAATGGAGACACTGAGTCTACGCTGTGAGAGACACACCAAAAATACCATGGCTGTGGCTCAGTTCTTGGAATCACATCCAAGAATTGCGTGGGTTAACTACCCCGGTAAGTTAGCACGTTAAATTTGTCGGCACAAACTCATCATTTGCATGTCCTAACAAATCGGCTAGGCCTGGAAAAGAATCAGTATCACGGCAACGCCAAAAAGTACCTCAGAAATGGTTACGGAGGCGTCCTTTCATTTGGCCCCAAGGGAGGAGACGTCGCTAGCAAGATGCTTATGAATTTTGTCAAGGTTATATCCCATCAAACAAAGTGAGTAAAGATCGGCGTCTTTAAGGAACAGAAGATTTACTAAATTGTACGCATTAGTGTTGGAGACTCAAAGACTCTGGCCACCCACCCTTGGAATTCCACTCATGTCATCATGTCTGAGAAGGATAGAAGAGAGGCTGGAATCACCCCGGTGAGTATTACGCATTAAATCAACCGTTTATATTGCATTGACTGATCTGATCTCGCGCAGGCATTCATTCGATTCTCGGTTGGAACAGAGGATGTTCGAGATATTATCGAGGATCTTGACCAAGCCTTGGCACGGCTGCCGGATGACATTGTCCACGTCCATGATGAGCGATTGGAAGCTAAGCTGGCGGCTGCTAATAATGGTTCAACTTCCGCTGCATCCATGGACAGCGCCGATTTTATGGACGCAGATGTTTCCTTGTCCAAAGCCAACGTCCCGCTTGGACGTCAGACGGCAGTTGGAAACTGGTGAAAGAAAGTCATATTAGATAGGAAGGCATAAGGAGTTACCCGGCCTTACAAATTATACATATTTAGCCTGGAACTAGCATGATTAAGTTCATTTAGAGCCTTGTTCTTACTCTATCTCAGTGGCTCGTATGACAAAGGACCTATTACTTCTCCATTGTAGGTTCATCTAAACTTGGCCAAAAGTAGGGTCTATGCTATTGAAAAGGGAACATCGATATCGAAAAGAAAATACATGGCGTCTCTCAGTATGTCATATGCCTTATACCATTGTAATCTCACGGATGAAAATAGAAGCTGGCATGCACAACATCATATAAAGTTCGAATGTAGACTACAGCCTACAAAATTTTAGGTGAGGGAGGTGAAGTACGTAGATACTATAACAAATTAATCTGGAGTACCGAAACTGAAGTAGGACCCGACGTTGAATTGTAAAGAAAAACTTGATCGAACTCTTTTCTATTTTGAATTCATGTTCAATGTTGATCTAAACCGAATGGTATCTCGGTGTAATGCTGCTCCACGCCTCATTCCCACTCATTTGATACTCCAAGCCTTTTATAAACGCCTGCAAGTCTGAACCACAGCCCCCAGCACTGGAAATTCTACTAGTGGCCAGCTTACTATGAAGAAGCTCCCATTCGCGACACATTATCCACAAGATGCGCTTCGACGCCGAATAGTCCAGGCTAGTCTCCGAAGCCAAGACTGACACGGATGAACATAAGGCGGACCCTTCTTTATGGCCTATATGGGAAGCCTTCAACTCCTTTTCCCAGCTATAGATATCGTTGACAACAGAGATATGTTTTGAACAGTTAAGCTCAATATCTTCGACCGAACTCAGGTCTTCAGGGCTGAGATGTAGGCTCATGCTAAACCTCATGAGAGCAGATAGCAATCTAGACAATTGTGAATTCTTGAACAAAAGGGGAATAAAAGATATTCGAGTAGACTTACGCTTTACCAACGTCCTTTTCTCGATACTTCAAATAGTGCCCCAACTCCTTGATTTGTAGTCGCGTCTTGTCAGTTTGAGCGCGCATGAACGTAAATACTGGTTCAAGGATCTCATTGGCAAGGACTTCATCGCAAGTCCTCATATCATTCCACAGGTCATAAGTTATCCATTCGACTGGGACACTGCGATCTGGCAACGACTCTCCCTTGGAGAGTAGTATGAGTCTCTCGTTGTAAGAAGAGCCTGCTTCAAAAGACATGTCTTCCAGGAGGTCTATCATAGCACAGAGTTAGCAGATTTGGCCATGGAAGCATTTCAAGACATTCAATTGGTCTGTTGCTCAAGCTTGTGGAAGAACGTGACTCACCATCAATTAAGAACAAAAGCGTTAGAAGATAACAGGCGAAAGAAATCCTGTCGTTCAACGCGGTAGGATAGTAGAAGCAGGTGACTTGTGGGAAACCCGCAGCCACGAACTTCTTTCTGGATTTCGCATCTGCAAATGGCCAGTGATTGAGGAAAAACCCGTTCACTTCCGCCGAAACCTCTCGCTCTCGAGGGTGTATCTTGGCGGTAAAATGCGCCGCAGGTGGCGGCTCGCTAGGATTGTAAGACCTCTGACCAGATTTGGCTGGCTGGTCAAAAACTCTCAGCGACGTTGACTGAGCAGGTAGAATAAAAGACGCCAACGCATGCAGGGAAATCATTTTGACGCCGGTGGAAGGATCGCCAGTGGATGATGGATCTCGAACGAACTGAGAGGGGAGAATTGGTGACCGAAGACAAGTTAAATGCTACGTCTGAACCCTTTCCAGCGCGGTTGTCGTAGGTGCCGTACTTGAGATGAAAGTATTTGCCATTGATCTATGATCTTGTTCCCTTGCTTGGGCGTGTGGGTCATACACATTGACCACCAAAGGATAGATTGGGAAACTTTGCGAGGAGACCGCGACTCGGGCTCCATTCAAATCGGGCAATAAAGCGAGGCCGGCAACCGACAGAGAACCATTAACTCCACTATCCCGGGATGGAAGGGAATACTGCGCTCGGATTAAAGTTGTCTCAAGTCGTGCAAGTATGATGTTGATATCCAGTCAATTGTGAAAAATAAATTGGCCAATTAAGCAAGCAAAAGCACTATGAACAGTGACGAAGATGATGTCTCACGCGATGTTGTGTATCATGTTGCTGAGGCGGTTGGTTAGAGCCAAGGCACCATGATTCTTGCTGGACGCAGAAGTAGGAATGATTTTACGCATCATTACCTGTTCGTGGCTGACATCACGTCTCATGTCATGTTCACGGCAAAGGAACAATAGATTCATAGTTGCAATCAACTCACAGTAAATGTGAGATATGATGAATGACGGTTGATCCTCTCCACAGTTTGTTGGCCTTGAATTAGCCGAGTCCCCAATATGTTTTCAAATGTGGAATTTGAGAGCGTTTGGTGCCCCCAACTTGGAGATTTGAGAATTTCAGAGGCATGACTCAGAGCATCACATTGCTACTTTTCCAGGCCTGCCGCCAGAAACATGGAAGATTGACGAGTTGGGGAACTCGATCTAGACATACGTGCCCGGATAGGACTATGGAATATAGTTTTCTTTACAGACAATTTCTGAAATCTGTTGCAGCTTGCTGCAGCCTAGTCTCTTGCAAGTTTGCCGCACCAATCCATGTGTTACGACAATCTGCCAAAGGTTCCTCCAACTCGGTGTACCTCTCACCCAACGTAAGAATGACTCTGCCATTCCAGCGGCCACTCGTTTCTCTCCACTCGGCAGTATCTGATCCATATGCTTGAACCTTCTTGGCTTCCATGGCAACAGCGGAATACACCACTGCAAGCCCCACGAAATGTGCAGAGCTCACTGGCAAGCCAGCAGCCATTATCGGAGCAGCAAGCTTCGCCGGCAATAGTCCGGTGATAGTTGCGGCTGGCGCGACAGCATTGATCGTAATACCAGTGTCTCGCAAATTCGAGCGCATCGCACGCAGGTAATTAATCAGCTTATTCAATTAGTCTTGTATTCAGTCTCGGTCAGCTTCTACTTACTGCAGCCTTTGTCCCACTGTATACCGGGAGTGACTGTTCCGGGGAATAAGCAGTTGCGCTTGATGTCAGCACAATGCTTCCCTGTACGCCGTTTCTTTTCATGCTGTGCAGTGCAAGCTTTACGAAATTCAGAGTGCCTCGGAAGTTTACATCAACCACATCGTAATTTGGTTCGAGCAGATCGCCATTGTCGTTGTACGCATCGTTCAGATATGTTCCGTCTTCATCTACTCCCGCATTTGCAATGGCGATATGGACTCGTCCTATCTGAGAGAACGCATCGGAAAGCTCAAGCCAGCGTCTGATGTCGCATTTGCGAAATTGTACAGATAATGGCAGTGTCTCTGTGGGCTGGCAGACATCGAGAATCACTACGCCAGCTCCTCGAGATGCTAGGATCTTTGCAGTCGCCAATCCAATGCCAGACGAGCCACCTAAAGTGTTCATGGTAATTAGTAATGAGAACCAAGTGGAATGACTCAAAGTTATTTACCCGTGACAATTGCAGTCTGCCCTTGCAAACTTGGGATGTCCGTTTCTTTGATATTGAGTGTAGTCATTGCGAAGTTGTGGCGAAGGTGCTGCCAAATGTCGTCACAGCTGCAAGGTCGAGCGACAGAGTGGAGGTTTAACCTGAGCCTTCAATCAGGTCTTGGGCGTATGTGACTGAGAGGTGGAGTGTAGAGCTCTTACCTTATCGTAGGGAAGAGTGCATTCGCTCTGTCCCCGAGACGTGCCTTGAGGTTCGGTGCGGAGTATTGCCATTTTCGGCATTTCTAGTTTGTCTCGTAATCCTTCGTGTCACAAAAAGCGGGCCCACTCAATGTGGGCAGCATTAACCACATCCATATCTCGTGACACTTCGGTAGCGATTCAGCTCCTGTTCCATAGGTGACTCAAAAAATACTAGTAGAAACGCTTTTTTCCTTTCTTCGGTTGCTGTCGACAGCTCCCGTTGTTTTTGATGCCCCTGGCTTCTAACAATCTGATAATCTTGGTGTTCATATGATATTTCAGTATCTGTCCTTGCTCCAATTCACTGGTTTTTTTTTATTTTTTCCTAAGCAAGAGAAAATCAACTCCTGTTGATACTATTCAAAGCTAGAGGCACTCTCTATCTAGAAGCTAGAGGCAATCTCTATCTATGAGTACCTTAATTTAAACATACCTTACGTCAGGCAAGAATGAATGCAAGACATTGTGATATATATCTATCTCCATATGATGGTTCACTTGATAATTGTCAAAGCCCTCAAGCCATATTTATAAGCTACTTCATCTCATGATATGTATCAGGTATCGGATAATGGGGAATTCCCGTGTGCCTGCTTTCGTGATAAATCATTGTGCCTTGTTCAATCAGAAACACAGCTTTAAATGCTTGCGAAGTACCTTATTGCAAACTTTGTTTCCAGCATGAGCTAGAGAATAACTACGAACATGGCTTATATCATAGCATACAAGTAGTCACGACATGTTAACGAAACAACCACCAAATGGCAGGATGTCACCGCCAATTGAAGCAGGCGGCAACCTATGGCAAGAAACTCAAGCTGAGAGGGCTTCTGCTTCTGCAATTATTTGGCATACTGAAAAAAGACGGATCAAGCAAAATGGGAAGAAAAGGAAAGCAATAATCCCAAGGATTTTGGCCTTCCGCTGTCGCCTGCAACTTTGAATTGAAGTCCACGGATCGCGTTAATGAGGTAGGGTTGTCTGAGTACTCTTTCGATATACAATAATCACACCGGTTCTTGATGCCCTAAATCATGCCATTCTTGTCGATCGAACGCAGGACAGAGTAGTCACTCCATCTGATCCCCAACTATACCATGATAGTTTCACTCTCCTTATCCACCTCCGGATCCCAATAGCCAACATATCCTTCTCTTCCAGTCAAGTAAGTCCCCTTGGCTTGCTCCTCGGCTGTTGCACGAAACACGGCATGTTTCTTGTTCGTCCAGTCGAGGCCCTTCCAAGTAACACCTTCCGAGTCAACGAACTCTGCATCCATTTCAGGTCGCAAGAGGTAAACAATAGAATACTTGTGACGCGTGACTTCGTCCTTATGGGGAATTATGCGGTGCAAGCTCGACTCCAAAACTCCCCCAGAAATGAAGCGAAGCGCATCGCCAACGTTCACAACTGCATGCCCGGGCTTGGGCGCAATGTAGTACCACTGATCCTCATTTGGCTTTAGCACCTGGAGACCACCAACCTCGGTGAAGACGATTGAGAGACTTCCAGCATCAGTATGAGCAATCTGGCCCACTTTGTCAGGTTCAACGTCTGCGAGGGTGTACTTGAGAAGACCTAAGGCTGTTGGGCAAACGGCGTTTTTACGGTGATATTGCTGATAAGCAAGCTCTTCATTCAAACCCAAAGCGGCAGAAAGTCGAGACAGTAAGAGAATGCTGATTTCCCGGAAGTTTGCTGTAGCACCTTTCAACACGTCGAGCTGTGTTGCGATCACACTAGGTCCTGGAAAAGTCGAAGGATCGCTGACCTTCGAGATTGGATGTTCGAAAAGCTTCTCAAGTCAGGTTTTGCTTATATGAATTGGAGTACGAGACGTTGGAATTTGAACGGAGCCTCACCATAAGCCCTTCGAACCCGTCCTTCTTTCCTTCGACTGGCCCGTTGCCATGCCCTGCTGGTTTGTATCTATTGCAGCAGAAGGCAACCCATCGTCAGATTGAGAAATGCAGTGCACTAGTAGGAGATCGAACTGACCCCATGACTAAGTGCTCATCATGATCCCGGTCCACAAGCCACGCCATCTTTTCATCTTGAGGTAGATCATAGAAGCTTATGGCTAGGTCATACATGGATTGTACATTTCCCATGACCTGGCCAGAAGCAACCTCCCGACAGTCAAGATAGAAAAACCCGAGATCGGTACATGCTTTCAGCAAATGCTCACGGCACACCTCATCTCCATCGATGAGTTGCTGGAGGGAGATGACGCGCAAAGGAGCATTCTCCTCAGCAACCCTGTCAGGCAGCGACTCGGGATTCGGCATATTGAAATAAAGAGGTACTGTGAATCGCAAACTAACTGAACAGACTGAAAGCCAGACGAATGAGACAGAAGACGGACACAACGTCGGAAATGAATCACGAGGCTAAAGTAAAAAGCACAATGCTCATGGGTGGCTTTCGGCGGGTTACTACTTCGGGCGAATCCCGACTGTCGAATGCTCGGGCCACCATTTGTCAAGACCTCAGGCCCTTAGTAGTGTGGGTGAATTTTATGGGGCATCAATAAGTTATGAGACCAAAGGTGCAATATCTGGCAGAACATCGGTACAGGTATTGGGCTTTGCGAGAGCGGAATTAGGACAGCTGGTGTGATTTTTGATGCACCATCTGTGGCACCAACAAATTTGATATATTCACACACTTACTAAATAACTTTTGCTAGCATAAAATACAACGACTGACTCTCATTAGCGAGGAGAGCCTTGGCGGATAACTTACCTCTCCAATGTTTGGGGAATATTACTCGTTGTAATGTGACTCGATGCATCAGCCGCTCGAAAGTTCTAGCACACATGGATGGACGTTGGGATTTTGCGACTCATCTGTGCTGACCGACGAAGGCCCTCGTTGCTCTGATTGCCAGGTTGACGGAAGCGAAATAGGCCA